GGGTCGGCCCTGTGAGGCGCTCATTGGTTGGGGCGAGTGCCAGGCCCTGCCAGTCTCCGCCAGAGGGGGAGGGGAGCAGAGGCGGGCCTCTCGTATGTCCCGCCCCTCCTTCCCCTGCCCCCTGTGCACCGGAGCACCCGAACGCGCGCGACGGGTGGGAGGGGGGAGTGGAGGTGTGAACGCTGGTGGGGAACGCGCAAGAGGCGCGGCGCTTCTGCACGGTGCTGCTGCGCGCTACCACCCGCACCTCCCAGCTCCTGCTCCAGCTCCCGCGTGTAGCTAAGAACATAGTCCACCCGCGTTCTGTGTTCTAGGAGGACAGATTCCGGCAGCCAAGCTGAGTCTGGGGTGGAAAAGAGACCCCAGTACACCCCACCAAGACCCAGGCACTTAGGACCAACCTGGCAGTGAGCGACATCCAGAGGCGGACGCCTGGGTCCCTGCTGGGTTCCGCGGAGCCATGGTCTCTTATGATCCCCGCACTGGTGCTCGGTTCGCAGGCGGACCTTTTTCCAGCTGGATACAGAAGCCTTTGAAATTGCGCCCAAGCTGTTCTTCTGCTTTGACCCAACGGTAGAGCGGGGTTTGAAAGCGAGGTGTCAAATGAGACACGGAAGTCTGAGCCTTCAGGGTCCCTTCCCTGGCTGTATCTGTGGTTCTGGCGTCCAGTTGTCAGTCTATAAAAGGAGAGCATCAGAGATGCCAACTGTGGAACTTAGGAGCGTCTTCTGAACCTCAGAATTGCCATTGCTAAGTGATTTTTTGTTTTGTTTTGCGGGAGAAGGGCGTTCTGCAGTAATGATTGCTTTTCTGGATGGACAGTTAACAATGAAGGTGCTCTGGACGTAGGGGGCTGAAAGATGGCCTTTGTCCATAAGAAAGTCAAGACCATTCCAGAACTTACAACGTTAAACCTCAAAGAGTAGGTAGACATTTGTTTCTAGACCCAGTACTACTGAACTTTCTCCAGACAGGGCTCCCAAAGCAGCTTTTCTAGGAAGCCTCCACTTTGACCAGGGAGAATGTGATGTCTCGTCTCTGTGTCCTCTAGGCTGCTCGCACCAGATCTGTTAGAGCAGGTTTCTTCTTAAAGAGTGAGCGTCTTGAGAAGAGACTTGCTTGCAGTAGGCACAAGACTGTGTTCTGGGCCGTTTAGCAATCAAAGGGCTCCAGGAGTAATTATGAAAATAAAAGTAATCACCCTGAATTGGCCACTTCCAGCTGGCCAAGCACCAAGCTAAGGGGTTTAAATCCTCATGGCTATGTAGGATATTCTCTAACAGCAGAGTTGTCATGAATGAGGAAACTGAGAACCCAATACCAGGTCTATAGGGTTCCAGGGCCAGGGGTTCACCAGGCTATACTGTTTGTCGAATAAATAAAATCGTGTTCCATCAGATGAGAAAATTGAGGTTCCAGAGAAATGAGCTGATTGGCTGAAGGGTACGTAGAGCCCGGTACATGTTATAATAGAAGCCTTTGTTCTCTTCAGTAGACTATTCTGCTTGAATATCATCAAAGTGCCAAGCTTCCAGTTTATGGTTGCATTCTGATCTGAAGGTCTCTGTATGCCCTCACAGCCTCAAAAGGCAGTGGTTTATCAAAATTTGATAAATGTTACTAAAAAATATTTTTTCTTTATGTATTTCTAAAGTTTATCTTATGAGAAGCAGAGATAAGCACCTTCAACAGTCTCTGCCTCAGTCCTCCCTTCCAGCCTTCCCAGTGAGCCTGGCATGTACAGGTTTACCTGGGCCCTGAACTACAATCTTCCATGTGACCTTGGCATTGTAGATCAGTCCATTATTGCTGTGCTACCATGGCTGGGCAGACAAAACAAAAATAAAAACAAAAACAAAACACCAAAATGTTAAAAACTTTAAAATGACCATTTGATGTACCTAAATCATTTTAGAAGTTTGGCGATTGTCCCTGTGTAAGTTATTAGAAAACAAGTTGCCATCCTTGGAACTGACCATAGGTTGTGATGGCCTTTTTTATGCTTGCCATAAATAATAAGCAACTCACTTTGGCCCGAAGTCAAGAGAATTGAACAAGTGGCTTCCGAGATCAAGAAATGAGTTATTGGTCTTGTTATAAACTGGACTTCAGGGATGCCTGGGAGGAGGCTGTCTGAAGAGTTCATTACTGATGTCAGAGAGGAACCTATTGGAAACAGCTCAGTGCTTGACTCTGAATAACCTTTTTTTTTTTTTTTTAATCCTCCCTCCATCTCAAGATCAAATCTAGTGCCCCGATATTTACAGCCATGTTCTGTGCTACCTGTAGTATCGCATACTACCCCAGACTGCAGACTATGCAGGCTGCTCCCCTCCGCTTAGTATCCTAACACTCTCAAGGATAATTAACATAAAAGATTTTCAGTGCTCGGAGATACCGTTTCTGAAGTCTGAAATATCAATATGCCACTTTTTGAATCTCCTTCTATCCCTTCCTCCCTGTTTCTTCTCCATTCTCCTCCTGGGATCTTGGGTGAGCATGCACACGTGCCCAGCATGAGTTTAGGTCACTGGGTCTGGGACTTGAACCACAGTCAACTATATGGGAGTCCAGTGACATAGCCATTACTCCAACTGCAGGTCCCAAAGGCCTACAGCTTTATTAATCACAAGGGAATATAACCTCTCTGGTGGCTCCCTTAAAATAAAGAAAGAGAACACTTTGACTTTGAGTGTTTTTTTTTTATTTTTTTTCCTGAGGCTTTGGAAAGAAGGGAACTCAAAATAAACAAAGGGAAAATCATCAATACTTTGTAATCTTTTGACAGTTACAAAGTAAGAAATAGAGGAATCAACTTGAAGGATACCAATGTTTGAAAACGTTCTATTTTCATCACAAAATATTGTTTGCAAATTGTTTGATTTATCTGCTATTTTTCCATCCCATCCTACCTGCTTTTACACTGAAACAATAATTAAGGTCCTTAAAAGCAGAATACAATCCTCAGAAGACCAACTCTGGAAGGCAATTAGTTTGAACGCTACTTTAACACTTGTAAGTGGGGTAACCTTGAGTAAGCTACTTAACCTGTATGGGCATCATTTTTCTCACCATTAAAATACAGATAATAATAGTGTCTGCCTCACTGAACTGCTGTGAGTTCATGCATGTAAGCACAGTGCCTGGTACGTAGGGAGCTTTCAATCAATGCCACCTCATTATTACTCTTGGTGAGAGAGGGGACAGGATCCTAGGTCCTATCTGCTAATGACAACTTTCTAGGCCTGTCTCTTCTTCCCCTCCCAATGAAAAGCTAGCACTAGGTACCTGGTGGGGGTGTGGGACTGCTTCTGTCTCAAGGTGATAAACCCTGTTATCCTGTTTTCCTTAGAATACTACCAAGTCTTAAGTTCTCTATGGATTTCTGTGTGCAAGCCTTGGTGCTGGTCTCATTCAGGATCCTAAGAGATTTTGAGTCTTTTTTTTGTTTGTTTCTTTTTTGGTCAAGTTCATAATTCTCCTACCTTAGCTACCCAGCTGGGACTGCAGGTACATGCCGGAACACCTGGCTCTTTTTAAAAACAGGCTCTTGCTGTGTTGCCCAGGCTGGACTTGAGCCTATGATTCTCCTGCTTCAGCCTCCCTGAGTCACAGGGATTGCAGGGGCATGCTACCACTCCTGGCCTTTAAACTGGATTGGGAATTGAACCCAGGCCTCCCATGTGGTCCCAGCCTGTGGAGCCTCTTGGCAACATGTAACATCGAGGCTGCACCCTCGAATCATTGTAAAATGAATGTTTCCTGGTGTGAGGAATATGTGTGGAAAAATGGTTAGGGAGATGTGATTAGAAATCAATGGTATGTGTGTGATCTTTCTATTGGTACCATCTGGTGTGTCTCCTCCTTTTCTTTTCGGTTCCTTCTGTAGCACTGTTTGAAAGACTTTCCCCCAAATTTCACTGATCAGCAGGTCCTTTGCTCAAAGTGTCATCCTCCAAAATTGGCCCTGGAGATAAGGGTTCAAAGAACTGAGGTTCATCCTCGGTTCTGCTTTATATCATTATTTGCTAAAATCTGCTTTACTGCTTTTAATTATATGCCCTATTTTAGCAGTTATCCTTTAAAGACACGAACCATCCCATTTCCTGTCCTTAACTGCCTGAGGCTGTCAGCTTACTCACTTGGATCTGTGTTAAAGAATGCTCTGTATCCATCTGGGGCAGAGATGAACTCCAACGCCATTCCCCTTCCTTCTGGCACACAGCTAAATGACAGGTCTCATCATACCTGCCGCTGGGTGGGGGCCCTGTGACTGAGTTCTGGCCACCAAAATGTGGGTGGAAGCAGAGTAGAGCCACTCCTCAGCTTGGCTCTTGACATCAAAACAGTTAGCATGATCTTCCATGAACGCTCTGTTCCCATTTGGTCTATGTAGAAGATCCATGGAGAACTAGTCATCTAATAAATGGAGGAAACAAAAATATTGCAGATGGAATGAGTAGCTAGGGGTCCTGAATCAATGTGTAAAGCAGACATCATCCTCTCTCAGACAAACTTCATCAGATTCTGATGGAAGTAGTAATCTCGGTGGGCTAGGACACCAAAATAAAAGGTGTGCTTCTTTGTTACAGAGGTTAGCCTGTACTGACTGATACACTTTTCTTCATTTTAGACCTACCTTAGAAAACCAACTATTTCTGCCTCCTTCTTTATTAGGATATGTTCTCACTGTCAAGGTGGGCATACTGTTGATGGCATCCCTGCAGCATCTCAGCATGTTCACCTCACCCAGAAATGAAATAAGTCAACAATAGATGCATCTGTCCCCTCTGGGTGCGGCCTCATTCCTTCCTGCTCTTTATTCTCTAAATTCCTACAGCTTTCATGTGACTAACTTACCTAGCTCTTTAAATGCCTTATTTGCTTTCTACTTTTTCTAGACCACAAAAACATCAAGGCAAACTCTTGCTCCAAGACTCAA